CCTACGATCGTGCCCCGAGGTGAGGTGTGAGGGTCTCCACGATTGCCCGTCGCGCGGCGGTGCGTACTCGCCTTTACGATCGTGCCCGAGGTGAGGTGTGGAGGTCTCCACAATTACCGAAAATTTTTCAAAAACGCAAACAAATCAAATCTTAAAAGGTTGTCGTTATTATATATGGATACAATTTCTAAATTTTTAACTTTAATTAATTTATTTAATATAACTAACTTTTTATTTTTTAACAAAAATAATTCAAACTCGTCCTTGTAAAATAATATAATGTAATAAATCAGGCCACACTAACGAGCACTTTTAACGAAGATGACAGCGTTTATTAATTTTACATAAAATTTAAGAAGCGGTACATGTTTTGACTTCACTTACAAGGGAAGTTTGCGAACCCGAAAATTCAGAAAAATCTGACTCTTGGTGTAAAAGTAGATCAGTTCATCCCTAGCATGAAACTATTTTTCGTTGGTGCTCAATTCCGTTTTAAAGGGATGAAACCATCCCTTAAAAAAAATCGGTTTTTTTCTTCCGACGTGAATATCGTCGAAACTATGAGAGATAGAAAAAAATGTTTTGAATCAAAGTTAAATGGCATGAAGTAAACTTTATGATAGTAGTAACAAAAAAATTTTTTTAATTTTTTAAATGTTTCCTCCATTAATTCACTTTTTTTTTAAATTTTTAAATTTTTTTTGTGACCAAATTAAAGGTTATTTTAATACAAATTCAACCATGTGTGATAAAGTTATTTTCCAAAGTATCATTTTCGAGACATAATTACAAACGCCTCTATGCGCACACCATATCCGTACTCGCTTACGCTGCGCGCACCCAGCAATTCTTCACGTAGCACATTCTGCTCGCATTTTTTGCATTTAACAAGAAATAAAATAGAAAGGAAATCTATTTCCGCAATATTCTGCGAATGTATAACTATGAATCGTTTTTATCGCGTACAGCTAGACAATGCTTACGAAGCAAAATTTTAATGTCTTAAGGTCAAGTTAAATCGATGTAAACAACT